TAAGGGGGATATGAAGCAGTCAGCACAATGTCCTCACAAACCGCAGGCCCTTACTCTGCATTCTGTTCTTGCCTCAGTGGCTTAGCCATTCTTTTCCCTCAACTCGACAGCCCTCGAGAGCGTGGGGGAGCGCAGCACAGGTCCAGCAGCCAAGATGGGCGAGTCACACTGCTGTCTCAAGCCCTTGGCGTGAACGCTGCCACAATACCCCAGCGAGACCTCAGGGACAGAGCCTGAGAAGTAAGAGAGGGTGTGTGGAGGTGGCCTGACCCTATGTGAGGGGCTTCAGAGCTCTTACAATTGGTGGCTGCTGCTCAGCCATCCCTCTCCAGAGCAGCCAGGTCCTCAGCCTCACGTATAGCTAAATGCCCTTTGGAGTGTCCTTTATGTCTTAGAAATTCTGAAAAATAAAAAAGCAACAGATTCCAATTCTAATGTCTGTTAGTTTCTCTGAGCCAACTGGGAAAAGATGTCTTTCACATTGAAGTTTAAGTGACACCGAAGGATGGCCAGCAGTGTCTTGGCCATGGAAACTCCTGCACTTCCTGCCCCCAGTTTGATTTGCAGCCTCATGGTTGTGTTGTCCTAAACACGCTCTCCTCTGGCCTTGTCCAGTGAATGTGGTTCACACGGTTAACACCACTTCCTGAGGGGGGCACCGTGTAAAGCTGAGAATGGATTGGGTTTAGGTACCATTGTGACTCCTTGTCACCTGAGAGACCCATTTTTCCTGATTGATTCATTAAGAGCATTAGTGCCTGTCAGACACCTTTGGACAAATCAACTGACAAGGGGCTGTGGTTTTATAAAGAAAACAAAGACTTTAGGTGTGAAATCCTCTTTTTCTCCTTCACTTTTTTTTAGGTAAATATTTAAATTTTTCTTTTTCTTTTCTTTTTGTTTTTTTGAGTCAGAGTTTCACTTTTGTTGTTCAGGGTAGAGCGCAGTGGCATGATCTTGGCTCACTGCAACCTCTGTCTACCGGGATCAAGTGATTTTCCTGCCTCAGCCTCCCGAGTAGCTGGGATTACAGGCACATGCCACTCTGTCTGGCTAATTTTATATTCTTAATAGAGATGGGGGTTTCACGATATTGGCCAGGTCAGTCTTGAACTCCTGACCTCAGGTGATAAACCTGCCTCAGCCTTTCAGAGTGCTGAGATTATAGGCATGAGCCACTGCACCCAGCCTCAATTTTTCTTTAAAAATTGGTAAATAGTGGTACCTCAGCAGGCTTAGTGTAGAATTGTCATGTGGCTGGCAGCAGTGTCTCATGCTTGTAATCCTAAGACTTTGGGAGGCTGAGGCAGGCAGATAACTTGAGGTCAAAAGTTCCAAGACAAAATTGGCCAACATGGTCCAACCCCGTCTCTACCATAAAGTACAAAAATGAGTTGGGTGTTCGGTCAGGCACCTGTAGTCTCAGCTACTTGGGAGGCTGAGATGGGAGAATTGTTTGAACTCAGAAGACAGAGGTTCCAGTGAGCTGACACTGTACCACTGCCCTTCAGCCTGGTCTACAGAGTGAGACCCTGTCTCAAAAAAAAGAAAGAAAAGAAAGAGAGAGAGAATTGACATGCACTAGGTTGTGGTTCCTGTGTGGATGGGCAGTTTTTCAAATAGAAAATCAAGTCTCACTGAGCTGCAGGAGCCACACTCAGTTGTTGTTCTTTTGAGACATAGTTTCACCTTTGTCACCAAGGCTGGAGTGCAGTGGTGCAATCTCAACTCACTGCAACCTTCATTTCCTGGTTTTTTAGCAATTCTCTTACCTAAGCCTCCTGAAGCTGAGATTACAGGCACCCACCACCACACCAAGCTAATTTTTGTATTTTAGTAGAGATGGGGTTTCACCATGTTGGCCAGGCTTGTCTAGAACTCCTGACCTTGTGATCTGCCCGCCTTGGCCTCCCAAAATGCTGGGATTACAGGCACAAGCCACCGTGCCTCGCCTAAAAAAATTTTTTTTATGAGACGGAGTTTCACTCTGGTTACCCAGGCTGGAGTGCAATGGCAGGATCTCGCTCACTGCAATCTCCACCTCCTGCGTTCAGGCAATTCTCCTGCCTCAGTCTCCTGAGTAGCTCGGATTACAGGCGCACACCACCATGCCCAGCTAATTTTTTGTATTTTTAGTAGAGATGGGGTTTCACCATGTTGACGGGATGGTCTAGAGTTAATATGCGCGGGCGCGGTGGATGACGCCTGTAATCCCGGCAGTTTGGGAGGTCAAGGGGGGAACAGATCACGAGGTCAGGAGTTCGAGAGCAGCCTGACCAACATGGTGAAACACCGTCTCTGCTAAAAATACAAAAATTGGCAGGGCGCGATAATTCACGCCTGTAATTTCAGCACTTTGGGAGGTCGGGAGTTCCAGACCATCCTGACCAACATGGAGAAACCTTGACTCTACTAAGAATACAAAAATAACTAAATAAGCCCGCAGTGGTGGCGCAGGCCTGTAGTCCCTCCCAGCTACTCGGAAGACTGAGGCAGGAGAACGGTTTGAACCCAGGAGGCGAAGGATGCAGTGAGCCAGAATCCCGCTTCACTGGGCTCCAACCTGGGGCATAGCGAGACTTGGTCTCAAAAAAAAAAAACCCTTAATAAGCACAAACACTGATTAATCAATGGGACAGTTTCCGGACATGATTTGCGGGTTTGTTTTCTTTTGTTTTGAGACGGAGTTTCACTTTTGTTTCCCAGGCTGGAGTGCGATGGCGCGATCTCGGCTCACCGCAACCTCCGCCTCCTGAGTTTAAGCGATTCTCCTGCCTCAGCCTCCCGAGTAGGTGAAATTACAGGCACGCTAATATTTTATTTTATTTTATTTTTTTAAGTAGAGACGGGGTTTCTCCACGTTGGTCAGGCTGTTCTCGAACACCCAACCTCAGGTGATCCGCCTGCCTCGGCCTCCCAAAATATTGGGATTACAGGCTTGAGCCACCATGTCCGATGGTTTGTGGTTTTGGGGCTACCAAAAGGTCTTGAAGAAAAGGCTTCTAAAAGGTGTGTGATGAAGCAAGGAAAATTAAATAATAGATTTGGTACAGTTGGGTAGTTGCTTCATTTGCAGTGTTCAGGAGAACATTTTCTGGATATGTGATCAGACAGCACATGTCTCAAGGGGGCCAGCTGAGACAAGAAGAATTGCCCCACTTAGCTGAGCTTGAATGGCTGACCATCTCAATTATGAACTAATAAGTTTGTAAGATTTGTTATACTGCAGTAGCTAACTAATACATGCACCCAGTACAGAAAAAAATGCCAGGATTCAATGACAGGTTGATTACTAGTTACCTTTTAAGAGTGGGCACCCTGTAGGTACTGATGTTTTCCCCTGAATTAAGGTTGGATGTCTTTTTTTTTTTTTTTTTTTGAGATGGAGTTTCGCTCTTGTTACCCAGGCTGGAGTGCAATGGCAGGATCTCGGCTCACCACAACCTCCGCCTCCTGGGTTCAGGCAATTCTCCTGCCTCAGCCTCCTGAGTAGCTGGGATTACAGGCATGCGCCACCATGCCCAGCTAATTTTTTGTATTTTTAGTAGAGACGGGGTTTCACCATGTTGACCAGGATGGTCTCGATCTGTTGACCTCGTGATCCACCCGCCTCGGCCTCCCAAAGTGCTGGGATTACAGGCTTGAGCCACCGTGCCCGACCCAAAGTTGGATGTCTCGTAAGAGAACGTTGAGTAATGCAGAAATAGAGGTAGCCATGTATGCATGTGATTGGTGCTTATACTCACACGGTCCCCCACACCACAGGCGAGAACAGATAACCGCAGCCTGACCATTAGGGCCAAGGCCAAATAGCAAAGTACGTTTGCCTTTAATCTATTTTCTACATATCTCAACATTGGAGGTCAAGAGTATGGACAGAACTGAAGACACAGAGTTTTATTCTCCTGTGGCACCATCATCCTCTGTTCTCTGTCTGCTCTATGGAAGAAAAATGAGCAACAGGTGGCCAGCAGTGGTCTCCTTGTGGTTATTTTATTTTATTTTTTATTATTTTAAGACGGGGTTTCACCATGTTGGTCGGGCTGGTCTTGAACTCCCGACCTCAGGTGATCCACCCACCTTGGCCTCCAAAGTGCTTGGACTACAGGCGTGAGCCACCACACCCGGCCTATTTTATTTTGTTTTTTGTATTTCTTTTTTCCTGTGGTTATTTTATTCTTGCTGCCCTCAGCTCTTTCTATGGTCACTATGTGTTCCACCCTCAGAACTGAAGAGAGATATTGGTAGGGAGAGGCTCTGCTTCACCTCTGGCAGAAAAGGTTTGCTGGGGCCCTTCGCCTCCCTGACATCAGAGCTGCAGTTCAATGTGGCAGCCATTGGCCATGTGTTGCTCCTGGGTGCCTGGAATGGCCCTGGTCTGAACTGCCATGTGCTAGAAAAGTAAAATACAGAGTTAGTTTCAAAGATTTAATTCCAAATATTTATATACTTTATTAATAATTACACTTTTCTCACACATAAAAATGATAATATTATGGACATATTGGGTTAACTAAATTGTTACAATGAATTTAATCTGTTCTTTGTTCCTTTTTAAACTTTGGATATTAGAAAATTTAAAATTCACGTGTGGCTCACATTTTCGTTCAGATGATTGCCTCTCTTCTAAAATCTCAGCCTTCCTGCTCAAAAACCAGAAGCTGGGAGGGTCATAAAATCTAAAATTTTAAAATAATTGTTATTATATTCTTTTCATTTGTAAATAGCCATATAAAATATTATTTATAGATGCATGTAACTTTACACACAAGTTGAAAGGCTAATATCCTCTGTGGTGGGCCGGGCTCAGCTTTGGAAGGAAGCCCTGCCTGAGAAGGCTGCAGCCTAGGCACCTTTTCTTCACTCATCCAGCATCTGATTGAATCTTCTGTCACTCAGGGCCTGAGAAGGCGGGGTTTTAAACGTTATCCAATCAGCGACGCTGAGCTGGAACCGACCAATCAGGCACGCAGCTGGAGCAGGCAGGAAGGCTTCCGGGATGTGGCGGGGCCTTCATCTCTCGCAGCTGGAGCTCCGGGTCTCATCTTTACTCCTCTGTGTCCTCTACTCTTAGAGGTCTAATCTCTGAGGCCCTGTGACCTGTAGGTATTGGGAGCTGGACCCCCTGGAAGCCTAGAAATGGTGAGAGTGCCGGGTGGAAACTCCAGAGAGAGGGAAAGGGGCTGATTGAAACCGGTGGGAAGTGGCTGTTGGGGGGACTCTGGCCTCCCTGCAGTCAGCTCCACACTCTGCTCCTGGAGTTCTTGCCCAGCTCGGCCACAGTCCCCTTCAGCCATAAGATGGCGGCTGCTCTGACCGCCAGTCCCGGACGTCCTGTCTCTTCCCTGTACAGTGACTGCCCTGGCTTGGAGCCCTCCCTGGGCGGCTCTGCAGCCGCAGCGTCGCGTCTCTCCCAGTTTGTGCGGGGACCACGAGAGGGTCGTCGGGGGGAATCCTGAGTCCGGGTGCGGGTTCCGAGTGTGAAGAGCTTTGTTCCGTGGGGTTCCGAGCTCCTCTTATCTTCTGTTCAAAATGTATTGGAGTCACCCTAACGATAATCAGAGTGATTCAAAAATTGTCAAGCACCCAGCTGTGGTTTGTAATGTGTGTTTCATGGGCGGGGATTGAAGGAAAGACTGTTACAAACTGCTTGATGAAGAAAACCAAATTCAGGAATTGGTTAGATACAGTTATGTGGTTTCTTCATTTGTAATATAGAGGGGAAAATTTAATTGTTAATTGGCAGTTCTTAGTTGGTTAAGGCTGAATTTTGTTTCTTTTTTTTTTTGTTTTTTTTTTTTTGAGACGGAGTTTCGCTCTTGTCACCCAGGCTGGAGTGCAATGGCGCGATCTCGGCTCACCACAACCTCCGCCTCCTGGGTTCAGGCAATTCTCCTGCCTCAGCCTCCTGAGTAGCTGGGATTACAGGCACGCGCCACCATGCCCAGCTAATTTTTTTGTATTTTCAGTAGAGACGGGTTTCACCATGTTGACCAGGATGTTCTCGATCTCTTGACCTTGTGATCCGCCTGCCTCGGCCTCCCAAAGTGCTGGGATTTCAGGCTTGAGCCACCGCACCCGGCCTAGACACATCTGTTTTTTAATCAGCACTGCCACTCTGCGTTTGTCACCTTCAAAATATTGGTTACTTATTTTAACCCGTCTTTTAGCTTTATATTCCATTATTTTAGTAGACCTTGAAAAGTAGAAAAATATTTACAAAGGGCATAAAAGAGGTGGGTTTAAAAAAAGTCTAGGCTGGGCGCGGTGGCTCACGCCTGTAATCCCAGCACCAGGTGAATCACGAGGTCAAGAGATCGAGACCATTTTGGTCAACATGGTGAAACCCCGTCTTTACTAAAAATACGAAAAATTAGCTGGGCACGATGTCGCACGCCTGTGATCCCAGCTACTCGTGAGGCTGAGGTAGGAGAAATGCCTGAACCCAGGAGACGGAGGTTGCGGTGAGCCGAGATCGCGCCATTGCACTGCAGCCTGGGTAACAAGAGCAAAACTTCGTCTCAAAAAAAAAAAAGTCTAATTATATACTCCATTCGTTAAAAAATATTTACTTCTTTTTTTCTTAACCAGAGTGAGTTTAAAATTTTTCTCAGGTGTTTTTTGTTTGTTTGTTTTGTTTTATTTTGGCTCAGTGGATTTAAACAGCATTCCAAGGCTTAGCTTTTAGAATGCTAGCTACCAAGGGAAAAAATAGGGAAAATCTCTATTCCATTTTGACTGTAGAAAATGAATACATTTCCATGAGAAAATGTGGTAATTGGTGAGTTACATAGATTCATGAAAACATCAGTTCCTCATTTAGCAAGGTAAATTTGTAATAGTGAGTATCTCTGTTCAAATCCTGTTATCTTGCTGGCGCAGTGGCTCACACATGTAATCCCAGCACTTGGGGAGGCCAAGGCAGGCGGATCACCTGAGGTTGGGGGATGGAAATCAGCCTGACCAACATGGAGAAACCCCTTCTCTACTAAAAATACAAAAGTAACCGGGTGTGGTGGTGCATGCCTGTTTTTGTTGTTGTTATCTGTTTTTCTTTTTTTCCCACTCAGATAAAATTAGAGTGTTGTTTTTTTTTTGATAGAGTCTTGCTGTGTTGCCCAGGTTGGAGTGCAGTGGCACAATCCAGTCTCACCACAACTTCCACTTCCTGGGTTCAAGTAATTCTCCTGGACTATAGGAGTGCACCATCATGCCCTGCTAATTTTTGAATTTTTAGTAGAGACATGGTTCCACTATGTTGGCCAGGCTGGTCTCAAACTCCTGACCTTTTGATCCGCCGGCCTCAGCCTCCCAAAGTGCTGAGTTTACAGGCATGAGTCACCGAACCCGGCCTGGTTACACATGCCTGTAATCCAGCTACTCAGGAGGCTGAGGTAGGAGAATCATTTGAACCTGGGAGGCGGAGGGTGCAGTGAGTCAAGATCACGCCATTGCACTCCAGCCTGGGCTTTGGAGAGAGACTCTGTACCCCCCAAAAATCAATAAAAATGTGAAGTAATTTCTGACACCCCTGAAAGTAGAACACATCAGATAATGCAATGGGAAACAGAACAGAACTTTAGATTTTGAGAAGGATCGGCCCACTTTCAATCCCGGAGCTTTGATGAGGAAAAATGAGTGCTTCCCAAAACAGGGTCTAGGCTGCCTCTTCTGTTTTTTTTCAAGGAGTTCCCAGGCAGTTAGAACTTGAATATCTGCTTTTAATTAAACTGACTTTTAAAACCATAGTGGTATTTTAAAAATGCTCTTTGAAATTTCTTATTACTAGGCTTTAGTCAGGTCAAACAGCCAGTATCTCTGGCTTTTTCACTTTATCAAAAGTAACTTCACAGGTTTTCTGAAAAAGAAAAATTCAAGACAGTTGCTGGAGGGAAAGAGAATCAACAAATGGTAAAGGTCACCCTCACCCAAACATCAAACAAGAACGTACTCATTCCCTAAGCTGGGAATTGAACTCTGAACCTGGGCCACCATTGTGATGGTGAAAACCAAAAGAAAGTACCTGTGGTCACGGGGTCAAGCTCCCAAGGACATGACTGACCGCTTTGCTGGGCCATCTTGAACAGCAGCCTTAAGGGGTTCTAAGCCTGCATTTTCTCCGAAGGTACCCCTCTTAATGACAGAACAATACGGAAAGACAAATTTGTAGCACGAAGTACAACAGATTTGTTACAGTATAAGACTAGCCTCACAAATGCATTTTCATATTAATTAGAACTTTACACAGGAGATAAACAGTGTTTTTGTTTTTAACCATTCATTCAATCAGTTTGCACAGAGGCCAGAAGTCTGGTAAGAAATTTGTACCCTTTTGCCAGCATGCCAGGCTTCTGGGTTCCCTTTCCCTGAGCAGCCCTAGTGACATGGCTGATTCCACCACAACCCTGGGGGACAAGGCACAACACAAAAGAAAATTATCTTTTTCTCTTCTGGCCGGAGCCAAATATGTGTGACAAACATAGACATTAGCCACTCTTTGTAGCAACCGATATCAAACTGGCAAGACTTAAACTTGTCCCCAGTGGTGCCCTATCATTGTTAATTCAGCCTCTGAATTAGAGGCGTTTTAACGTGTGTTTAATATCCTCTGATCAGGAGTTTTAACTTGTGGCAATAAAAGAATGGCTGGCTCCATTGGCAGAGCAGTCCTAAGGGTTGCTGGTTGCACATTTTTATGGTTATTTATATGCTAAACAAGGGGTGGAATATGTATGCCTCTCCTTTTTAAACCATTGTAGGTGACTTCCTGACATTGTCATGGCATTTGTAAACTATCATAGAACTTGTGGGAGTGTAGCAGAGAGGACAACCAGAGGTCATTTTCATACCATGTTAATTTTGATGGGTTTTATCCAGCTTCTATACTGCAACCTGTGTTATCAGCCAGGTCTTTATGTCCTGTATCTTGTGCTGACCTCCTATCTCATCTTATCAGTTAGAATGCCTAACCATCTGGGAATGCAGCCCAGTGGGTCTCAGCTTTATTTTTATTCAGCCCCTATTCAAAATGGAGTTGCTCTGGTTCAATATGCTTCTGATAGAGTCTTGTCTGGCTATGTGATAAATAAGAAAAGGGAGCACCATGTAAGTCATAATGGGAAGGGTGTTGTTTTCTGTAAGCTATTTCTAGAGAACAGAAAAGATGAAAAATTGTACTAATCACAGCTGTTTACCCAGATTATGTATGTGCTTCATTGTCCCCCACCTCTTTTCTTTGTCATATACATTTCTTCCATTTGACTTTTCCTGGGTTGTATTTTTTTAAATAACAAACCAGTAAATATAACTACATTGTTTTGCTGAGTTCTGTGAGCAGCTTGATCAAATTATTAAACTGGAGGAAGGTTGTGGGAATCCCAAGGTTTGTTTTATTTTGTTTTGAGACAGTGTCATCTGTCACCCAGGCTGGAGTGCAATAGCATGGTCTCAGCTCACTGAAACCTCCACCTCCCGGGCTCAAGTGATTCTCTCACCTCAGCCTCCCAGGTAGCTGGGACTACAGGCGCATGCCACCACACCCAGCTAATTTTTGCATTTTTCATAGAGATGGGTTTTTTTTTTTTTTTTTTTTGAGATCAGCCATGCTGATCCAGGCTAGTCTCAAATTCCTGACATCAGGTGATCTGCTTGCCTCGACCTCCCTAAGTGCTGGGATTACAGGCATGAGCCACTGCGCCCAGTCTGTGTCTTTGTTACTGCAAGCAGTGCTGTAATAAACATGGATGTGCATGTGTCTTTATGGTAGAATAATGTATATTTCTTTGGGTACATACCCAATTTGAAGGTTTCTTGGTCAAATAGTAATTCTGTTTCAGTTCTCTGAGGAATCGCCACACTGCTTTTCAGAGCGTTTGAACCAATTTACGCTTCCATCATCAGTGTATAAACATTTCGTTTTCTCTGCGACCTTGCCAGCATCTGTTATTGACACTTGTATTTGAGACAGAGTCTCACTCTGTCAACTGCAGATGTGCCCGGCCAAGCCTGACTGATTGTTTTTTCTTTTTCTTTTTCTTTTTTTTTTTGAGATGGAGTCTTGCTCTGTCAGCCAGACAAGTGCAGTGGCACAATCTTGGCTCACTGCAGCCTTCACCACCACCTGGGTTCAAGTGATTCTCCTGCCTCAACCTTCTAAGTACCTGGGACTACAGGCGCCGGCCACCATTCCCAGTTAATTTTTGTATTTTTATTAGAGATGTGGTTTCACCACATTGGCCAGGCTGGTTTCAAACTCCTGACCTTGTGATCCGCCCATCTCAGCCTCCCAAAGTGCTGAGACTGCAAGCGTGAGCCACTGTGCCCAGCCAGTTTTTGTATTTTTAGTAAAGATGGGGTTTCTCCATTTTGGCCAGGCTGCTCTCAAACTCATGACCTCAAGTGGTCTGCCTGCCTTGGCCTCCATAAGTGCTGGGATTACGGTGCCGGCCTGTTACTGACTTCCTAACAACAGCCATGCTGACTGGTGTGAGATGGTGTCTCACTGTGGCTTTTTTTTTTTCTTTTTCATTTCTCTAGGAATTAGTGGTAAGCCTGTTTTACACATGCCTGTTAGCCACATGTTTGTCTTTTTTTGGAAAAGCATCTGTTCATGTTTTATGCGTTTTAATAAAGTTTTTTTTTGTTTTGCAGACTTAACTTCTTTATGAATTGTGGATGTTAAACCTTTGTCAGGAACATAGTTTGCAATTATTTTTGTTTATTTGGTATGTGATCTGTTTACTCCATTGATAGTTTCCTTTGCTGTGAAGAAGCTTTTTAGTCTAATTAGGCTCCATTTGTCAATTTTTGCTTTTGTTGCAATTCCTTTTGTTATCTTCCTCAGAAAATCTTTTCCCGTTCCTATGCTTAGAAGGGTATTTTCTTGGTTATTTATCTTCCAGATTTAAAAAATAATGTTAAGTTTTGCATTTAAGTCTTTATTTTCATTTAATTTTTATATGTATTATCAGGGAGGAAACAATTTCAACCTTCTACATAGTGCTAGCTAGCTATTCCAGCACATTTATTAACTAGGGAATTCTTCTCACATTCCTCTTGTCAGATTTGTCAATGATCAGATGGTTGGAGGTGTGTGGCATTATTTCTGGGCTCTCTATTCTCTGCTCATAGACTATTTGTCTATGGGTCTGTTTTTGTGCCAGTACCATGCTGCTTTGGTTACCGTAGCCCTCTAGTGAGTGTGGTTTGAAGTGGGGTAATGTAATGCCTCCAGCTTTGTTCTTCTTGTTTAAAATCGCCTTGGCTATTCAGGCTCATTTTGGCTCCATATAAATTTTAAAGTAGTTATTTTTTAGTTTTGTTAACACTGATTCTGGTAGTTTGATAGAAATAGCAATAAATTGGTAAATGTCTTTGGGCAGTTTGGCTGTTCTAATAATACTGATATTTTCTATCCTTGAGCATAAATGTTTTTTTTTTTTTTCATCTGTTTGCATCATCTCTGACTTCTTCAAGCAGCGTTTTGTCATTCTTGTCATAGAGATCTTTCACCTCCATAGTTAGCTGTATTCATGTTCTATTGTTTTTGTGGTAATTTTGAATAAGATTATGTTTTTTATTTGGCTTTTGGCTTGGATGTTGGTGATGAACAGGGATGCTACTTCTTTATTAATTATTTTTTTGAGAGAGACTCTCTGTTGCCTGGGCTGGAGTGCAGTGGCGATCTCAGCTCACTGCAACCTCCGCCTCAGGGATGCTACTTATTTGGCATCCTGTTGCTGAAGTTTTTTATTTTTTGTTTTTTTTGAGACGGAGTTTCGCCCAGGCTGGAGTGCAATGGCATGATCTCGGCTCACCGCAACCTCCACCCCCTGGGTTCAGGCAATTCTCCCGCCTCAGCCTCCTGAGTAGCTGGGATTACAGGCATGCGCCACCGTGCCCAGCTACTTTTTTGTATTTTTATTAGAGACAGGGTTTCATTGGTCTCGATCTCTTGACCTCGTGATCCGCCCGCCTCGGCCTCCCAAAGTGCTGGGATTACAGGCTTGAGCCACCGCGCCCGGCCGTGCTGAAGTTGTTTATCAGTTTAAAGAGCTTTTCTGCATAGACTATAGGGTTTTGAAGGTACAGAATCTTTTCATCTGCACAAAGGGATAGTTTGACTTCCTCTCTTCCTGGTGGATGCCTTATCTTTTCTTTTCTTTTTTCTTTTTTTTTTTTTTTTTGTTGTTTTGAGATGGAGTTTCGCTCTAATTACCCATGGCTGGAGTAAAATGGCGCGATCTTGGCTCACGGCAACCTCCGCCTCCTGGGTTCAAGCCATTCTCCTGCCTCAGCCTCCCAAGTAGCTGGGACTACAGGCAGCGCCACCGTGCCGAGCTAATTTTTTGTATTTTTAGTAGAGACGGGGTTTCACCATGTTGACCAAGATGGTCTCTATCTCTTGACCTCATGATCCACCCGCCTGGGCCTCCCAAAGTGCTGGGATTACAGGCGTGAGCCACTGTGCCCAGCCCGGATGCCTTTTGTTTTCATCTTTTTTCTGATTGCTCTGGCCAGGACTTCCAATTGTATGCTGAATAGGAGTTTTGAGAGAGGACATCCTTGTCTTGTGCCAGTTTTCAAGGAGAAAATGCTTCCAGCTTGTGTACGTTCAATATTTTGGTTGTAAGTTTGTCATAGATGACTGATTATTTTCAAGTATGTACCCTCAATGCCTAGTTTGTTGAGGGTTTTAAACATGAAGGATGTTAAGTTTTATTGAAAGCTTCTTTTTAGAATCTATTGAGATAGTATTGTGCTTTTCTCTTTAGTTCTGTTTGTGATGAATTACATTTATTGATATTTATATGTTGAAACAACCTTGCATCTCAGAGATGCAGTCTACTTGATCACACTGGATGAGCTTTTTGATATTCTTGTGGATTTGGTTTGCCAGTATTTTGTTGAGAATATTTTCTTCAGTGTTCATCAAGGATATTGGCCTGAAGTTTTCTGTTGTTCTCTCTGCCAGGTTTTGGTATCAGAATGATGCTATTCTTGCCGGGTGCAGTGGCTCATGCCTGTAATCTCAGCACTTTGGGAGGCTGAGGCGGGTGGATGACGAGGTCAAGAGATCGAGACCATCCTGGTCAACATGGTGAAACCCCGTCTCTACTAAAAATACAAAAAATTAGCTGGGCATCGTGGCGCGTGCCTATAATTCCAGCTACTCAGGAGGAGGTTGTGGTGAGCCGAGATCGTGCCATTGCACTCCAGCCTGGGTAACAAAAGCGAAACTCTGTCTCAAAAAAAAAAAAAAAAAAAAGATACCTGCTCTCTAAAGTGATAAAGAAAGACTACTTTAAGTTGGTATTAAACATTACAGAACATAGAAGACACTGCATTTTTTTTTTTTTTTTTTTTTTTTTTTTTTGCCCTTCAACCCCTAATACTACATCTTGAACTCTGCATGAAACTGATTTCTCTTTATGGTTAAATTCAGACTATAATTTGCTTTTTGAGGGGCAATATCTCAGCAGTGATGTTGTGTTCTTCTCTATGCATCAGCACATCATCAAACGTTGTCCTAGTGCAGTTCATGTTAAAATTGACTTAAAGAGCTCTGAGACATTTATTTCACTATTGAGTTTCTTATTTTTATTCTGATTATTAACTATCTGTATTTATGTAGCTAAAGAAGAGCTGTGCATAAACTATCAAATTTAATCTGGTAGCTGCCTTCTTTTCATAGGTTTTGTTTTCATTATCTCAGTCTTTAGAAATTGAAGAGTCTTTTGATCTTTGTTTACAGAACAAAAAAACCTGGGTAAAACACAGGCTTTTCCACTTACTCTTTTCTTTTTGGGCCAAACACATGGTATTGCTAGTGAGATTGTTAAAAATTCAGAGACTCAGACTTTATTTCGTATCTTCTTAAAAAAAATCTGCACAAGATCTTCAGTTTAATTTACATATTAAAATTTAAGAGGTATTTTAAAAATTTATTTTATTTTTGGATTGAGTCTTGCTTTGTCACCCAGGCTGGGGTGCAGTCTCGAGTAGCTGGGACTACAGACGCTTGCCACCATGCCTGCTAATTTTTTTGTATTTTTAGTAGAGACAGTTTCATAATGCTGGCCAGGCTGGTCTCGAACTCTTGACCTCATGATCTGCCTGCCTCGGCCCCCAAAGTGCTGGGATTACAGGTGTGAGCCACCTCACTGAGTCTTAAGAGGTGCCTTCTAACTCAACGTGTCTTCTTTGTCTGAAAGGTGTGGACAGCTCATTCTTTGTGATGCAAATATAGAACTAAAAATGTACATGTTTGTGTTTATGCCTTTAGTTTTATACATTATTATTCATGAAAGTAGCATTCATATATGTATACGTACACACTGGTTTTGTGAAGCTTATACCAGTCTCTTCTCTCAGAGTTAGAGAATACATTAGAGAATATTTTTTTGTTAAAAATTGATAGATAATTTCATTCATTCGTATAAGTTTGATCTAATTTTCTTTACTCTCTTAGTTAACCTTAAATGATAAATTCTGCTAATGGACATTTGTAAATCTGTGTGTCTGTTGGTGTGTGTGTGTGTTTTTCAGGGGCCGTTGACATTTAGAGATGTGGCCATAGAATTCTCTCTGGAGGAGTGGCAATGCCTGGACACTGCTCAGCAGGATTTGTATAGAAAAGTGATGTTAGAGAACTACAGGAACCTGGCCTTCTTGGGTGAGAATAACTTTAATACACAATTCCTCATATACCCTAAAGGTTTCATTTCTCTATTTTTATATAATAATTTTTGGTAATTTATGCTTTCCATAAATGAATTTCTAATCCTTGTTTTCAAAAAATCTTGAGGAATGGTTCATGTAGAAAAAACTTCTTCGAGATGGTTTATCTTGGCCTGAACCTTTTACATTCCTGAGTTGGTCTGTATTGTTCACTGCAGAGGAGTAGTAATTTCAGAAATTTCATGGTATAAAATATTGTCACCCCCATGTAAAAATCGGCTTGCCACCACTACTTTTTGACTCATAAGTACTGGGTAGTGAAATTAAGAACCTATTAATTTAAAATATTTTCTAAATGTTAAGAACTTTCTGTCATTAAATAGTATTTTGGGATTATTTCTAGAATATTCTACGACATCTCTTTACTAAGCACGGTAGAGGTTGGTAATTAGAGAATCTGAGAAAGATTCATGTAATTTATTTTTAATAAAGCAGGTATTGCTGTCTCTAAGGCAGATCCGATCACTTTTCTGCAGCAAGGAAAAGATCCCTGGAATATGAAGAGACACAGTATGGCAGCCACACCCCCAGGTAGGTGAGAATGAATGAAACAGTTGACATAGTTCAAAAGTTGGAAGATAAAAAAAAGAAAAAGAAAAGCCAGTCCCTACAATGTGATTTGGGAAGTTGTGTTCCAAAGCAGATAGTTTCTGGGAAGCCTGAGGCGTTTGCTTGTTTTGTTGTTGTTTTCTCACATAGGGCCATCTTCTCTCTTATGCTTTCAAATTCTCAAATGAGTCTAGTTTTCCTACATTGATCTTCCTTCAGGTTTACAGTGAGAGCCAAAATCCTCTTCATGGCATATAAAACACTATACGATCTGACTGGTTTCTTATCGTTTTGTGGCATCATACAGATATCTGCATGATTTTGAGAAACTTTATTTTAAATTACTTTTTTAGTTCTCTTTTTGTATGATGTCTAAACTGTGTACTTGTCGTGGTCTGTTTTTGTTGTTTTGTTTTGTTTTTGTTTTTGAGACAGAGTCTCCCTCTGTCACCAAGGCTGGAGTGCAGTGGAGCAATCTCAGCTCACCATAACTTTTGCCTCCCAGGTTCAAGTGATTCTTCTGCCTAAGCCTCTCGTGTAGCTGGGATTACAGGCACGTACCGTAATGTTTGGCTGATTTTGTATTTTTAATAGATGGGGTTTTTTCGTGTTGATCAGGTCGGTCTTGAACTCCTGACCTCAGGTGATCCACCCACCTCTACCTCCCAAATTGCTGGAATTACAATCATAAGCCACCATGCCCAGCCTCTATGGGTTTTTATGTTAATTTTCTGCACATTCCATCCAGTTTTTATTACTATATTCTTGAAATATAGTTTGAAATTAGAAAGTATAAATTATAAGTGCCCCTTTGCATTGTTGTTTTCCTCAGGATTGCTTTGGCTATTTGAAGTATATTGTAGTTTCTTGTAAATTTTAGAAATGTACTTTTTACTGCTGTGAAAACAGTGCTACTGGAATTTTGATAGGACGTTTGTTGAATATATAGATTACTTTAGAGTACATGGTACTTGAAAAATATTTATTCTTTGAATACATAAATATGAAATATTTTAAAAGTTATGTCTTCTCTAATTTCTTTTATTGATTGTTTTTTTTTTTTTTTGAGACAGAGTTTCACTCTTGTTGCCCAGACTGAAGTACAGTGGTGCAATCTTGGCTCGCTGCAATCTCCACCTCCCAGGGTCAAGCCATTCTTCTGTCTCAGCCTCCTGGGTAGCTGGGATTACAGGCACCTGCTACCCCTCTAGCTAATTTTTTGTATTTTTAGTAGAGATGGGATTTCACCATGTAGGCCAGGCTATTCTTAAACTCCTGACTTCAGACAATCCCCCTTTGCTGCCTCAACCTCCCAAAGTGCTGGAGTACAGGGGTGAGCCACCTCACCCGGCCTCTTTTATTGATTTATATCTTTCATTGTAAAGATTTCTTGCCTCTTTGGTTAAATTCTTAGAAATTCAGCCTTCTGAAGGTGGATAATAAGAAACTTCTGTGAGTTAAAAGAACATGTTGTAGCCCAGTGTAAAGAAACTAAGAACTTTCAAAAAAGGTTTGACGAAATCCTAATGAGAATAGACAATTTAGAGAGGAATGTAAGTGGATTAATGGAACTGAAGAATATAATATTGGAACTCTGAGACGTATGGACAGGTTTAAACACTCGAATTGATCAAGCAGAAGAAAGGATATCAGAGGTCGAAGACCAACTTAATGAAATAAAATGAGAAGACAAGAATAGAGAAAAAAGGATAAAAAGGAATGAGCAAAGTCTCCAAGAAGTATGGTACTATGTGAAAAGACTTAATTTACATTTGATCGGTGTACCTGAATGCGACGGAGAGAATGAATTCAAGCTGAAAATATTCTTTAGGATAGTATTCAGGAAAACTTTCCCAATTTAGCAAAGCAGAACAATATTCAACCCCAGGTAATACAGAGAACACCACAAAGATATTCCTCTAGAAGAGCAACTCCAAGGCACATAATCGTTAGATTCACCAGGGTTGAAACCAAGGAGAAAATAGTAAGGGCAGCCAGAGAGAAAGGTCAGGTTACTCACAAGGGGAAGCGTACCAGACTTACAGCAGATCTCTCAGCAGAAACCCTACAAGCCAGAAGAAGGTGGGGGCCAATATTGAACATCCTTAAGGAACAGAACTTTCAGCCCAGAATTTCATATCCTGCCAAACTAAGCTTCACAATTGAAGGAAAAATAAAATCTTTTATGAACAAGCAAGTACTCAGAGATTTTATTACCACCAGGCCTGCTTTGCAAAAGCTTCTGAAAGAAGCATTACAGAGAGAAAGGAACAACCAGTATTAGCCTTTCTAAAAATATACCAAAAGGTAAAGAGCATCAACATAAACAAGAATTTATATCAACGAATGGATAAAACAGCCAGTTAACATCAAATGGCAGTAACCCTAAATTTAAGTCGACTAAATCCCCGAATCAAAAGATAGAGCCAAAACCTAACGGTATGCTGCATCCAGACCCATTTCACATCCAAACATACACAAAGACTCAAAACAAAGGGATGGGGAAAGACTTACCAACAAAATGGAGAGCAAAAATAAATAAATAAATAAAAAGCAGGAGTTGCTATTCTCGCATGTGATAAAATAGATTTCAAAGGAACAAAGATATAGTGGTAAAAGGATCAATGCAATGATAAGAGCTGACGACCCTAACACCCTAAGAACTTTGAAAAAAAAAGTTCTTAAGTACATAAGACCTATAAAGAAATTTAGAGTCAACGAGACAGAAAATTGATGAGGACAACAAGGACTTGAACTCAGATCCGGAACAAGTAAACTTAATAAATATTTATAGAGCTCTCCATTTCAAATACACAAAATATACAGTCTCCACTTTAAATACACAAAATATTGATCTGCCATTATTAATACCCATTTTTAGAATAAAGCAATATTCCCATTTTCTCTCCCTCTTTTTCTTCCTCTTCTTCACTCCTTTCTTTTTTCCTTTTCTTTCTAAAAAGAAAAAAAAAATTAAAAAAAAATGAAATTCAGGATTTTAATTCTATTTTAAAAGGGATTGTTTTCTCGGCTGGCACCTCAGGCCTGTAATTTCAGCACTTTTGGAGGCCAAGGCAGGTGGATCACTTGAGTGCAGGAGTTTGAGATCAGTCTGGCCTATATGATCTCTATTGAAAATATACAAATTTAACCAGGAGTGGTGGTGGGCTCCTATAATCCCAGCTACTCAGAAGTCTGAAGCAGGAGAATCACTTAAACTTGGGAGGCAGAAGTTGCAGTGAGTTGAGATTGTGCCATTGCACTCCAGCCTGGGCCACAGAGCAAGACTCAGTCTCAAAAAACAAAACAAAAGATTTTTTATTTCTGTTGTATCCAATAGCTTGTTTTAAGCGTATAAAACAGTAACTGGTACATTTCTGTTAATCTTGTATTTTGTCAATTTAATGAGTATATTTATTAGTTTAGGCAAATTTCAATATACTCTCTTTTTTCTGTTCTTTTTGTTTGTTTGTTTGTTTTTTTGAGATGGAATCTTACTCTGTCAGAGGCTGCAGTGCAGTGGCTGGATCCTGGCTCACTGCAACCTCTGCCTCCTGGGTGGGGGTGATTCTCCTGTGTCAGCCTCCCTAATAGCTGGGACTACAGATGCGTGCCACCATGCCCAGGTGATTTTTGTATTTTTATTAGACAGATTTCACCATGTTGGCCAGAATTGTCTCAATCTCTTGACATTGTGATCCGCCCACCTCGGCCTACCAACGTGCTGGGATTACAGACTTGCGCCACCACACCCAGCTATCTATAGTTTTTTATGTATAAGGTTATTCCTCAAACAACTTTTTACTAATTTGTCTTCAATTTCAATGAATAAAAAAATATGCTTTTTATTCATTATTTTGCCACATATTTCCAGTGCTGTGTTAAAATAGAAGCATTGACAATGGACACAATATAGTTTTATATTGGTGTCTGTGAAAACAAACAACTCCTCAAGTTTGCATACACTGATTTCAGGAGGTAAAGATCTTTTGTTGGCTTCTCAGGGTTCTAAAATGCCTCCGGGGTTTGTAGTGAATTGGGTTGTAACTTGGTCACAAGGCTTCTGCGTCTGCACTAGGGTCCACATTTAGTTGGCTTGTTACAAGGGGCTTAGGTAGTTGTAATTCCCAGTGTGTTTTGTTTTTTTTAATTGAATATTCTTCAGGACTTTTACATGTGGAGCAGGCACTAGAGTAGGTTTCTACAGTCAGGTCCATATAAAACGGCCTTTATATCAGGATGTGAATGAGTACGGCTTTCACTGAGTACCAGAGAAAATTTCTGGGTTTCTGTATAGACAGAATAGGCCATGAACGGTTCCCCATGGAACTGGAACTGAGTCAGTGACCTGCTTCAGGGACCACAGTAAAGATCAAGGTCTATAGGCCTGCCTGCATGGCTACAAATGGGTATCTTCCTCCAGGTCTCAGGAATGCCAGGACCTCTCCCAAACTGTAACTGGGAGGAGTTTGAGATGGTTTCAGAGTAACTTCAGAATTATCTCCCAAACTGTAACTGCGGGGAGTTTGAGATGCCTTCAGAGTAACTTTAGTATTCTCAGCGAGACCAAGTTGGCTGGGCCATTTCTGTATCTGTAGCCAAGATCAGGGGCCCTGTAGTTTCCCACATGAATGAGGACCTGCCCTTTGAAAAGGAACACTCCTCAATGTTGGGCTTCAGCAGAGTTTCACAACTCTCTCCCTAAATCTCAAAGCTCTCTTAAAGGCGTTTATACTGGAGACAAGGTCTTGCTTTATTACCCAGGCTGGTCTTGAAGTCCAGGCCTGAAGCAGTTCTTCAACCTCTATGTACCATGTAGTTGTCATTACAGATTTGAGCCATGATGCTTGACTCCCTCATAAGGCATTTATTTAAGAAATGGATGAGGCATTTTCTTGTTGAGGGAGGGATAAGCAAATATAGCTGTTTTCATTTTTTGATCCTACTGATGTTTCTCTTGCTATACATTTTTATTTTCTATCTTCTATTTTAAATTGATCTGTAATTCTAGATTAGGACATTTAGGACAGTATGCCAGAATGTACATGTAATGCCTAAAATAATTAAGATAATTGGTAGACACTCCATGTGTAATAAAATAGTTACTTATAAATTTAAATTTTCTTCAGGCAAAAAAAAAAAAAAAAAACCAGGATTTTTCCCTGCCTGTTTTAGCATATGTCTAAATGATAATATAATTTATTGCTAAATATTTGTTTAATATATCAGAGGTTTTAAATATATTTTGAAAAAATATATTTTTTATATTTAGCAATGTAAGGCTATTCGTTGCTTCTAAAGTTTCATTACAGCCATTTTATTTTGTGTACAAATAGCTTATGTTTAAAACATAAAAGTTATCTTTTCTTTTTTTTTTTTTTCTTTTCTTTTTTTTTGAGATAGCATTTCACTCTTGTTGTCCAGGCTAACCTTCTGCCTTCCCAGTTCAAGTGATTCTTCTGCCTCAGCCTCTTAAGTAGTTTTAATTACAGGTGCCCGCCACCATGCCCAGTGAAGTTTTTTGTATTTTTATTGGAAACCGGGGATTCACCATGTTGGCCAGGCTGGTCTTCAACTCCTGACCTCAGGTGATTTGCCTGTCTCAGCCTCGCAAAGTGCCAGGCTTACAGATGTGAGCCACTGCGCCTGGCCACTCATTTTTTTTTTTTTTGATGCTTATTTATTAAAAGTTTCTCCTTTGAATATTTTGTTTATAATTATACTGAATGCTCTCTGAAATTTTACTGCCACACAGTGCATGCCGATGATTCAAAATACCTGCCTTTTATGAGTACAGTTACAGTGAAATACTATAGTTAGAGAAATTGTTTAATGGTACATTAATGTTGCATACCAGATATTATGAGTGAACATGTCTTTTATTGCTGTGCAGTTTCATATTAGTGGTTTTTTTAGTGTAGGTTTCTTAACATCAGCTTATTGTGTTTTTTGTTTTTTCTTATGTGTTTTAATTTTAGTCAATTGGCAATTCTGTGCGTATACTTTAAGTCAATATGAGGTTTAATTAAAAGCCATATGTCGCCAGGCACGGTGGCTCACGTCTGTAATCCCAGCACTTTGGGAGGCTGAGGCAGGCGGATCACCTGAGGTCGGGAGTTTGAGAGCAGCCTGACCAACATGGTCTCTTAAGAAAAAAAAAAAATCTGGGCAGAATGCCACGTGCCTGTGGTCCCAGGTACTCTGGAGGCTGAGGTGGAAGAATCTTGAGCCAAGGAGTGTCCAGACTGCAGTGAGTGAGCTAGGATGATAACACTGCACTCCAGAATTTAACAATATATATCTGTCTCTCTCCCTCTGTCTCTCTCCCTCCGTCCCTTCACCTCTCTCCCCCATCTTTCTTTAAAAAAATAATAATAAAATAAATTTTTAAAAAAAGATAGCCATATGTCCGTCACAGATTAGATATGTTTGTTTGTTTATCTATAAATATGACCCCAATATTGGTTATAGCGTAACTTGTATATATTCTTTGTTAGGTGATTTTCAGTGGTTGTTTTATCCTGTATAAGCAAATAATCATGGAAAAATTTTTACCATTTCTTATTTTCACCATGTATTTAATGATGAATACATATTTCTTTGTGTAAGAGAAACATGTCTGTGGTGTGAAGGTAATTTCTGAAAACATTTATGAATCTGTATTTTTTGCAGTTTTTCCTTTAGAAAAGTGTAAAAACATGAAATTTTGCATCTTAAATCTACTTAAGGGTACATTTCAGGGTCAGATATGTAGGTGGCTCACATCTTTTGTTTCAGATATTTCAGAGGCCAAGACAGGAAGTTCACTTGAGCTTAAAAGTTTAAGACCAGCCTGGGCAACATATAAATATTTCTTCTTTACAAAAAGATATTAAAAAAATAGGCATTGTGGTATGCACCTGTGGCTCCAGATACTTGGGAGATGGAGAGAGGAGGATTACTTGAGCCTGGCAGTTTGAGGCTAAAGTGAGCCTTACTTGTGCCACTTCACTTTAGCTTGAGTGACAGAGTGAGACCCTGTGTTGTCAGAAGTTTTACATTTCAGGCATGTTAAGTATATTCACGTTGTTAGGAAAAAAACTTCTAAAAGTTTTACATCTCGTGAACCTAAAAGCAAATACTCATTAAGTAACAACAATCCATTTGCCCTCTCCCCAGCCCTTGACAAACGCCCTTCCAATTTCTGTTTTTGTATGTATGACTACTTAATACATGTAAGTGAAATCATACAGTATTCATCACTTCATTACTGGTTTATATAATAGGTGATATAATATTTGCAATGTTTACCTTAAAATGTGACAGAATTTTCTTTGTCAATACTGAATAACAGTGATTTGTAGTAGCTTTAAAAACAAATAAAAAGTACTGAATAATATTCCACTGTATGTATATGTTACATTTTTGTTTATAAATCAAGAGACATCTGAGTTGCTTCAGCCTTTTGTCTTTTGTGAATATGGGTCCAATAAATACGGATGTTCAAATATATCTTCCACGTCTTCTATTGCATATTTGGACTATAGATATATAAATAAAATTGCTGTATTTGATGATAAGTCCATTTTAATTATTTGAGAAACATAAAATTTTTAAATGATGACTGAGTCTTGGTTTCCTGCTAACAATCAACATGAGTTTCATTTTTATTAAATCATGAATAGATTTGGTGTCTTTAAACATTTTCTAGTGGTCACCGTAATGGGTGTGAGGCAGTTTTTTTATTTGTATGTGTTTCTCTCCAAAATATTTCATGTTTTATTTCAAATGCTGTATTCCATTTGTGTATTTTTTTTTTCTTTTTTGAGATGGAGTCTCACTCTGTTGCCCAGGCTGAAATGCAGTGGCATGATCTCAGCTCACTGCAACCTCTGCCTCCCAGGTTCAAGCAATCCTTTTGCCTCAGTTGCCCAAATAGCTGGAATTACAGGTGCATGCTACCACACATGGCTAATTTTTGTATATATATATATTTTTTAATAGAGACGGGATTTCACCATGTTGGACAGGCTGGTCTCAAACTCGAGCTCACAATCTGCCTGTGTTGGCCTCCCAAAGTGCTGGGATTACGGGTGTTAGATCCCGCGCCCAGCGTATTTGTGTATTTTTTTGATAAAATGTTGTTCAGTGCTTTGCTCATTTCTAAATTTATTTTGCTTTATTGTTCAGTTTTAGGAGTTTATACTGAACATGAACTCCTATTACATGTGATTTGCAAAGATTTTCACCTGCTTCCCAGAAGGCATTTTCACTCAATTGAATATTTTTTTTAACGTGCAGAAATTTGAAGTATAGTATAGTTACATTTTTCTGTTTATTTTCTTTGTTCTTCATGCATTCAATGTCATATCTAAGAAAATGGTGCCTAGGCCCATATAATGTCTTTTTTATATTTTTTCTATGTTTATAAGAGATTTGGTTTTTTAAAATGTCTATTTTTAAATTATGTTGATATTCAGTTTTTAACACTTTTTGAGAAGATGATTTTTATTGTGTGTTCATAGCAACTTTAGGAAAGATCATGTAATCATATACAGAAGGCTTTATTTCTGGGTCCTTTATTCTCTTCTTTCATTCTTTCTTTCATCTTCCTTTGTACCAGTATCACACTGTTTTGGTTACTATAGGTTTTAATATGTTTTAAAATCAAAAGGTATGATGTCTTTTTTTTCTTCTTCATGGATGTTTTGCCAGATATAGTTTAAAAGCAAATTTTAGCCGGGCGCGGTGGCTCAAGCCTGTAATCCCAGCACTTTGGGAGGCCGAGGCGGGTGGATCACGAGGTCAAGAGATCGGGACCATCCTGGTCAACATGGTGAAAGCCCGTCTCTACTAAAAATACAAAAAATTAGCTGGGCATGGTGGCGCGTGCCTGTAATCCCAGCTACTCGGGAGGCTGAGTCAGGAGAATTGCCTGAACCCAGGAGGCGGAGGTTGCGGTGAGTCGAGATCACGGTGAGTCGAGATTGCGCCATTACACTCCAGGCTGGGTAACAAGAGCGAAACTCCGTCTCAAAAAAAAAAAATAAATAAAAGCAAATTTTAAAATGTTAAAGAATACTTCTGTAATAGAACTGTGGTATTGTGATTTGTTTGTTTGTTTGTTTATTTTTGACGGAATTTTGTTCTTCATCCACGTTGGAGTGCAGTGGGGCAATCTTGGCTTACTGCAACCTTTGAGTTTTGGTTTCAAGCAGTTCTCCTCCCTCAGACTCCCGAGTAGCTGGGATTACAGGTGCCTGACACAATTAAATTGTTTGATTCTTGAGCAAGTATATGATGAAGAGTGTGTTTCAGTTTTCTTTCATTTTTAGGAGACAGAGCTTTTCTATATTGCCCAGGGTAATTTCTTTAATTATTTTGTTTTGTTTTTTCTTTTTTTAAAAAATTGTACTTTAAGCTCTGGGGTACATGTGCACATCCTGTAGGGTTATTGCATAGGCACACACATGCCATGGTGGTTTGCAGTCTACATCCCCCCGCTTTTTTTTTTTTTTGAGACGGAGTCTCGCTCTGTTACCCAGGTTGGAGTGTAGTGGTGCAATCTTGGATCACTCCATTCTGTGCCTTTTAAGTTGAAGCGATTATTCTGCCTCAGTCTCCTAAAAGTATCTGGGACTACAGGCTTGCTCCACTATGCCAAGCTAATTTTTCTATTTTTAGTAGAGACAGGGTTTCACCATATTGGCCAGACTGGTTTCAAACTGCTGACCTGCCTCAGTTTCCCAAGGTGATGGCATTACAGGCTTGAGACACTGCACCCAGCCTAGCCCAGGCTAACTTTAAACTCTTGGGCTGAAGAATCCTCCCGCCTCAGCCTCCCAAAATGCCAGTATTACAGGTGTGAGCCACCACACTCACCCTGTGTGTTTTATTTTTATGTATTCTTGGATTTGCCACTTTTCTTTTGCTTTTAATTTTCAGTTTCATTTACTTTTGGTAGGAAAACACACAGTGTATGATTTTGGTCTTAAATGTATTTGTTGTTATTTTGAGAAAGGATCAAACTTGTCACCCAGGGTGCAGTATAGTGGCATAATTTTGGCTCACTAAAACCTCAGCCTTCCTGATTCACACGATCTTTTTACCTAAGCCTCCCAAGTAGCTGAGACTACCGACATGCATAACCATGCCTTGCTGATTTTTTAATTATTTGTAGGGACAAGGTCTCACTGTTATTTAGGCTGGTCTCAAACTTCTGGCGCCAAGTGATTTCCTCACTTTCATCTTCCAAATTGTTATGATTATAGGTATTAGCCACTACCCCAGCTGGTATTCTTTAATAAGACTTGCTATATTTTGTAACAGAATACATCTAGTGCAATGAATAATATTGCGTATTCTTTGGCTTTTGAGTGGAAAGTTTTGTACATGTCTGTGAAGCCTAGTTGGTCTATGGTATGGTTTGGAAGTCCGTGTTCTGCAAACCTGATGCTACAATGTAATCCTAAGTCAGTTTTGGATGTGGAACCTGCTGGGAAGTGTTTAGGTCATGGAGGCAAGTTCCTCATAAATGCCTTGGCACCATCTGTTTGATAATCAGAAAGTTTTCACTCCATTAATTAAAATGAGAGCAGGTTCATTAAAGGAACCTGGCTTCTTTTTTTTTTTTTTTTTTTTTTGGGGGGGGGAGGAAGGCAGGAAGGAAGTGAAGAAGGATGGTAGGGAGGAAGGAAGGGATGAAGAAAGGAAGGAAGGGAGGAAGCGGGGAGGGAGGGAGGGAAGGAGGGAAGGGAAGAAAGGAAATCAAGCAATGAAAGAGACATTGCCGACCTGGATCTGGAGGTTTACAAGTTGATTTGAGAGAAGGAAAGAAAAAAAATAATAAGTAAAGGAGAGGAAGAAAGAGGGAGAGTAAATGGAAATATTGCTTTATTTTGAAACAAATTGGGTATTAATAATGGCCAATCAATGTTTCATTTAAACTAATGGGTAGGTGTGATGTGGTATTGACAAGAATGTATATTTTGTGTATTTGAAGTGGAGGGCTCTATAAATATTTATTAAGTTTACTAGTTCGGGATCTGAGTTTGAGTCCTTGATATCCTTATTAATTTTCTGTCTCATTGTGTCTAAGTCTATGTATCTGGGTGTTAGTATCGTTAGCTCTTGTTGTTGCATTGATCCTTTTACCACTATATCTTCGTTGCTTTAAAATCTATTTTATCAGATACAAGAATTGCAACTCCTGCTTTTTATTTATTTATTATTTATTTTTGCTCTCCATTTGGTTGGTAAATCTTTCTCCATCCCTTTGTTTTGAGTCTTTGTGTATCCTTGCATGTGAAACAGGTCTGGATGTAACATGCTGTTGGGTTTTGGCTGTGTCTTTTGATTGGGAATTTAGTCAATTTAAATTTAGGGTTACTGCCATTTGATGTTGACTGGCTGTTTTATCCATTTGTTGGTGTAAATTCTTCTTTATGTTGGTGCTCTTTACTTTTTGGTGTATTTTTAGAAAGGCTAATACTGGTTGTTTCTTTCTGTGTGTAATGCTTCTTTCAGAGGCTCTTGTAAAGCAGGCCTGGTGGTAATAAAATCTCTGAGTTCTTGCTTGTTCATAATAGATTTTATTTTTCCTTCAGTTGTGAAGCTTAGTTTGGCTGGTTATGAAATTCTGGGCTGAAGGTTCTGTTCTTTGAGGATGTTGAATATTGGCCCCCACTCTCTTCTGGCTTGTAGAGTTTCTGCTGAGAGATCTGCTGTAAGTCTGATAAGCTTGCCTTTGTGGGTAACATGACCTTTCTCTCTGGCTGCCCTAGGATCTTAAACATTATCCAATCAGGGACATTGGGCTGGAAACCGTCCAATCAGGCACATAGCTGTTTATCAGAGATGATTGGCTTTAAGTTTTCTTTATTTGTAATATCTTTGTCAGGTTTTTTTATCAGAATGATGCTGACCTCATAGAGTAAATTAAGGAAAAGTCCCACCTTTTCTATCTTTCTCATTGGTTTCAAAGATTTTCATGATTTCTGATTTAATTTCTTTGTTTACCCAGAAGTCATTCAGGAGCCGGTTGTTCAAGTTCCATGTGGTTTTGTGGTTGTGAATTTTTTTTGTTATTTTGTTGTTTTTTGAAGACAAATTTTCACTCTTTCAAGTAGGCTGGACTGTAGGGGCACAATCCAGGCTCATTGCAACCTCTGCCTTCCAGTTTGAAGTGATTCTTTTGCCTCAGCCTCCCAGGTAGCTGGGATTACAGGCACCCACCACCACCCCCGGCTAATTTTTGTATATTTAGTAGAGACGGGGTTTCATCATGTTTCCCAGGCTGGTCCTCAAGCTCCTGACCTCGTGACCTGCCCACTTTGGCCTCCCAAAGTGCTGAGATACAGATGTGAGCCACCACGCTTGAAACGGAGGTTTTGTTTTTTTGGTTTTTTTTTTTTGAGACAGTGTCTTACTCTGTCACCCAGGTTGGCATGTGATGGTGAGATCTTGGCTCAATAAAACCTCTGCCCCTGGGTTTCAACAATTCAGCTGCCTCA